AATAAATGCTCTTCTTTTTAACTTTTTATTCATCAAAAAATCCTGAAAAAAAAAAGATATCACAGGTTCCAAAAAAATATTAAGCAGCACAACAGTTTCCAGCACTGAAAATAAATCAGCATATCATAATGATTTCTGAAGATCATGTGACACTGAAGACTGGAGTAATGATGCTGAAAATACAGCTGCACATCCCAGGAATAAATTACAGTTTACTATATATTCACATAGAAAAACGTTATTTTACATCATAATAATATTTCACAATATTAAATTTTTCCTGTATTTTTGATCAAATAAATGCAGCCTTGATGAGCAGAAGAAACTCCTGTAAAAAACATAAAAAATCGTTCTGATCCCAAACCTTTGACCGGTAGTGTATATAAAAAAAAAAAAAAAAATTTCAGCTCACAATCATTTTTGTACTTACCCTTAATCGCATCCTTTTTCATGAAATTGTAATATTTCATACCTTTTTTTTAGGTTATTTTAAATGCTGCTAATTGTGTCTCTAACAGGCAGAATGAATTCTTCGCAGTCTTAACTGTTTCCAGAAGGCTTTGTTTATTCTGTGAATACATTAAGTGTGTTCTGAGGTTCTGGTCTTCAGTGCAGACAGCACACTGAGCTTCTGTTTTATCTCACTGTCCCGACAGGACCCCATCCTGCGCCGTTCGGGAATGTACACAGTGGCCATGGCGTACTGCGGATCTGGGAACAACAAAGCCATCCGGCGACTGCTGCACGTGGCTGTGAGTCTTACATTTGCAAATATTACAAACAATAAGAATTATTAGATGCAAACACATATAAGGGTCATTCCTCAATTACAAGAAAGAAAAAAAGGTTAGATTGTAATGTTTTATGTAGTTATTATTATTTTTTTCAGGTTTTTAAGTAACTTTAACTTATGAAAAAGGGGAAACAGTGTTTTAAAATCAGGGGAAGACACATATAATATAGTATAATATAATTATTTAACGTTTTTTCTGACATCTTTGTCAGAGCAGCAGAGTGACAGTCTGAATATCAGGAACATCATTAAAAAATTTATGGTGTGGGCTTTATTAGATTAGATATCATTAAACATTATAATTAAATATTATTAGGTCAGTATTTTTACTGAATTCTGAAAAAACAAACAAGGCCATAGTCTGATTTTCATTTTGGAACGCATGATAAATAATTCAGTTTAAATGATTTATATAAAAAAATACAGAAATATTAATAGATAGGAAAAAACAAAAGCATTATACATAGTGTAGCTTTCTTTCTTTCTTTCTTTTTGTTGAGCAGGGCATCTGTCCTGCATTTCCTGCAGGTGGCGACATTTCCATAAGTGGTTTTGTACTTGCAGCAAAAGAGCTTGCAGTGTTATTCTTGTTTCCTGTTCAGCTGTACGTTTTATTGTAATATCAGTATTTCAGAGTTATGCTCTGGTAAATTTCAGGCAATTTAATGTATTTATACAACGGTAAGAAAATAACCTGCATGCCAAAGTTAAAGTTAGCCATTGCTCACTGAGGGATTGAGAGTTGGCTTGCATGAAGACAAAAAGGCTAACAGGATGGATATTGATATTGTGGATATGTGGGAGATCCTATTTATTAGAAGTTAAAACAGTATCCCAAAAGAAGATGCATTTAGTTTAGAACATTCTATTAGGGAATGAAAAAAATTGAATTTTAAAATAATTGTCAAGTCCCTGGTGCCATTTTGGAGAATATCCGCTGGATGTAAACAGCGTATGCTGTTCTGTGTTAGCTGTGTCACGCCGGATCGGTTTCCTACTTTGTTTGTGCTTTGATTTTAATGAAAACAACATATCTGAGTAGCGCAGCTAACACAGAACAGCATACGCTGTTTACGTCCAGTGGATACGCTCCAAAATGGCACCAGAGTGATGCGGAGGAGACGAATTGTTGAATAAAGTCGTTATTTTTTTTTCTATTGCGCACAAAAAGTATTCTCGTATCTTCGTATAATTACGGTTGAACCCCTGATGTCACATGGATTATATTACAGATCTCCTTGCTACGTTTCTGGTCTTGGGAACATTTCAGTTGCGTTGCTGTCTATGCAGGGTCAGACAGCTCTCAGATTCCATCAAAAATATCTTAATTTGTGTTCAGAAGATGAACGAAGGTCTTACGGGTTTAGAAAGACATGAGGGTGAGTAATTAATGACAGAATTTTCATTTTTGGGTGAACCAACCCTTTAATTATGACATTGTGATAGAAGAAAATTAACAAAATATTTCCTTAGAATATTGAATTTAATATTTTATCCGAATGCACCGCTCTGATTTCTCATCCCTCTTCCTGTCAGGTAAGTGACGTGAACGATGATGTTCGGAGGGCTGCTGTCGAGTCCATTGGATTAATCTTGTTCAGGTACGGCGCTGTCTGTCCTCACCTGTCTCTCTCTCATCAACGCCTATCGTCGTCTCATCCTGCGCTTCATTATAAACAGACCTCATCGGGATGAGCCGCTCTGAGATTGCTTGCCAGTAGCCCTGATTAATCAGCCCTTAATGTATACACAGACGAGATTCCACCCATACCTCTGATACAAATGTGTTCAGAGTGTCTCCTGAAGTGCTTGTTCCTAGCTGTTGATTTTGGTCCCATTAAGAGATGGATCACTTCGTCCTATCACACCCTGTGGCACTTGCTTTATAGTCAGTGACAGTTTTGCCGTCCGTTTGTGCCTCTACCTAGTGCTTCTGCATTGAGTATATATCGTCAGATCAGCAGAGGTATTCCCTTATGCAGTAGTTCAACCAGAAATTAGTTTTCATTTACTCCCCATTGTCGTTCCATTACCTTCATGCATTCTGGCAAACCTAAAAATACATATTTTAAAAACCAGACCCTAATCTGGTTTAGGGTCATGTCCACTACACACTCACATATGCATTCTTGAGTTCAAAACATCTGGATGTTGAGTAAATCTTGAAATAGCCAGCACTGATCATGGATCTATCTAAATTGCAACATTTGTTGACCTCAAAAATCACCAGTTTCAAGACAAAAATACTTTGAAGTAGTAGAGTTTAATCATAGGCCCAACCACAGATCTCAATCAAGAACAGCTTGCACCTTTAAACATCCCGCATGCAAGGGTAGAACATGTTGTGTTGTCCCCATATGCTTCTCTTTTGTTATTATTTTGCCGGCAGTAAGTTCCCCCTCAGACGCCCCCTCTAAGCCAAGTAGTACTGGTGAACTATTTTAAGCCCTAAAAAGGCCATGCGATATTCCCATGATCAATTGTCAGCTAAAAAAAAAAACTGTATAAATCCTTCCTGTGTTTAGAGAGTGTACAGAGCTGCAACAATTCAACATGTTCCTGTCGTCTGTCCCAGAGGCCCCCTATCCCTGCTGCACATGCAAATCACGACTGCACACCTTCCTCTTTTGTGGGTGTTGATTGATCACTCACTATAAATGCGAATGGAGTGTTTTCTCTATGAGAACATACAATAAAACATAGAAGGGTTTTCTTCAGAGGGATGCATTTTGCACAACTTCAAAGTAGCACCATTGACATATGTTGCAATCACGAACTGTAAGCATTAACCAAAATTAACACTTCTTAGCTATTTTATCTGGAAAAAATGTTTATTTAGCAATAGTTCAGAAGAATCTTGAAAAATGTCAGTATCTACAAATAGTTATTTCTTACATGTATAAAAGCACTTTTGATTCAAGATCTGTCTACAGACGTAAAAAAAAGACCTGCCATAACTTAGTGAAGCATTTATTACTTTTCTTGTATACAGAAGGTAAGTGGAGGTGTGATTAATTTGAGACTTGTGCTTATCTTGACAAGGCTTAATTTTGGCTTCACATTGTAGACCCTGTCTACTAACTTTGGGATGTGCAAAAACAGTCCTCTCTTTGCCGTAAGTACTGTTTATTTTCACAGTACTGCCAATTATTAGGCTGGCCATTACTTTCACTCCCCAAAGCAATTTTTTTGTCTTTTGGGGGTTCTTAGACATTCATCTTATGTGCTATTCTATCTCCCAATCCAAGACTTTAAGATGGAGTATTACATTGGCCATGACCATTTTATGCAGTCCTTCTGGACTCCTTTTAGACCACATCTCATGGGTTCCCATGAGAACTTGTGGCCTTTTGGCACTGAAAGACTGACACATCTCTAACATGGCATCAGATATACTACACGTGGCTTATGTGTTCGTCAGGTTTGCAGTCTTCATTGTCCGTCAGGAGCAAAATGTCCAGTGTGATGTTTGCAGAGGTCTGCAGGTTCGTGGGACGACGCCGGAGAGGACTCTGATAACTTACAGGGCTGACTCCGTTCTTCATACCGTGTTTCATAAACCGCTTTGAGTTTTCGGTCACCGATGACCGAAAAGTAATTCTGCTTCTCCTTTGCATTTTCGGAGTCTCTACACGTCTGTAGTTACATGTGATGTAGCGCTTAAAGGCCTCCCTGAACGTCCCGTTGAACAGTGTATAAACCAGGGGGTTGATTCCCGACGAAGCGTAGCCCACCCATTGAAAGATATCCAACAGTTGCTCCACTAGATTACTGTCGCACCCTTGACAGAGTACAGAAGTCACATTGGTAATGAAGAAAGGACACCACATTACAACAAACAACATGAATACAATCACCAGAACCTTTGATGCCCTTTGTTCATTGCTCAAGTTTTGCATGGACCTCTTTCCTATGGTGGACATCCTGCGGAGAGGGACCTCATCCCTTGTGACGGGACGCAGTGTTCGGTCCCTTTTAATTCCATTTGCATTGGCCACTTTCACAGGTGAAGAGAGAACCGGTAGTTCCTGGTGGAAGATGGTGGAAATGCTGGGCCTTGTAGCTCCCATTCTCAAAAGAAAGGCCTTCTTGCGCAGTACTTGGATTGTCAGCAAGTAGATAATCATCATAATTGTAAGAGGTATAAAGAAAGCTGTCAAAGACCCATACACCTTGAAGTCCCCGAAGCCTTCTGGCGACAGCAGACAGGTGTGGTTGTTGTTGAAGGTGATGTTGTTTGGATGGTCGAAGACTTGTAGCCCTTTGATTGGAATAGGTATTGCAATACCTAATGGAGAAAGACCAATCGTTAAATTGAGCAGGGAATAAGGTTGAAATGAAACATTGAAATGATCAAGCCAATTAAAATTGACTTCAGGCATGTCCAATCTTGCTTCTAGAGAGCCACATTCCTACAGTTTAACTTCAGCTCTAATTAAACACACCTTAACCTGCTAAACATGGTCCACGGGGTTACTTGAAATGTCAACGCAGTTGGAGCAATTTGGAGTTAGTATTGTAGTAATCAAGACCAGATTTCATCTATCCCAAAGTAAAGCATTTACACTGTCTGAATCATTCAGACCCTCTTCAAGTCTCTTGTCTTGACTCGCACTCAACCTCCTTCTGCTCTCGGTCTTGACTCTGAGTCAGCCTCTGTTGGTCTGGGCCTGGACTTGGACCTAAATGAGCTGGTCTCGTTGGAGTTAAACTCTCCAGGATAGTGGATATCCAGGAGCAGGATTGGGCACCACTGGACTAGGTTATTGCATAGTCAGTCATCTCCTTTGTAAATGCCTGCCTACTGAATAGTACTTTTTGTGCTTTTGGCAGTTACTTTCAATTTTTTTTTAAGGAATGCTACTAGTTGGTGGATTGCCAGACTCATTGGTTCTGCAGAGGCCCTGAACAGTTCAGCTTATCTGGGGTTCATCTGATCCCGATTAGATTCTTAAGAGGTGTTCACATAAGAAATGCAATTAAAAACAGCAGGAGATGTCTTGGGTAATAACAAGTGGAATAGCGTATGCATTTGCCATTCATTACTAATAATAGCAGTTACAACATCAATAACACATCTTGGACTGGAGTTCTCTCACTTCTAGTATCTATTACCATCAGCTCCTGTTAAACCGTAAAACTGCTTTGTCAAAGGTGAGAATATGCAAAGTCGTTCTCAGGAGTGCACAGGGACTTGGTGTTCATGGTCAGTGTTGAAGTGACACAGATCGTGGCCTGCCTTTCATGGTGGAGAAACGGCTTCATGATTCCAGAATGTGCGTCGAGCTCGTCCAAAACAACGCAGCCAAAGTCATCGTCTGGACTGATGTTAACGAGTAGAAATCGCGAGGTGTTTACTTTGAGGTGTTTCACCCCCCACAAGCCAGCGTCCACGTATAACTAAAACCCGATCATTAAAAGTACATCTTTTTGCTTGTATAAACGGAAGCTCACTGGTCAGTCAGTGACATGAGAGAAATGAAATTTGTGCGTATGCAACTTTTCCGGAGACGAGTGTTGAGATCATTGGTCGGTTCAAGGACTGGATTTTGCCACATTTGTATAAAGCTGTAATTTTAAATTTTATTAAATGTAGGTAATGAAACACTAGATTTGAGTTTGTTCCCATTTTTTAAACTGTATAAGCCTCTTCATCTTCTGGAAGGAAATTGTGGCATTTGTGTTTATAAAATTGAAAATGGAAATTCCCTGCATCTGTAAAGCCAATATTTCCTTTGGTTTTTATAGTAGATGTGAATATTTAAAAGATTAATTCACAATTGTTTGTAAAGGACACGATTCAAGATTATTCCAGACTCTTCCAGGAGTGGTGAACGAAAATACTGAACACATGTAATATGTTTTCCAAAGTGTTTTTCATCATTGTGACATACCTATAGAGATTAGCCAGACCAGTGCGATTTTAGCCAGCACTTTAGCTCTGGACTTGTACTGGCTGTGCTGGATTGGTTTCTTGATTGCAATGTAGCGGTCGAGGGAGATGGCACACAGGTGCATGATGGAGGCAGTTGAGAACAAGACATCCAGAAAGAGCCAGATAGGGCACAGGAAATCTGCAAGGGGCCATCTGGAGTCTGAAATATGAAGAGAATATTAAGCACTAATCAGTGGGCTGTCTGAATTTAAATTAGGACCAACTCGGAGACCTATATGTCATTTTGTGATTGGACACACACATTTTAAAGACATCTTTTCACCATTATTTTATGCATGCTAACTTCATCAGAGTTAGTGCACCATTCAATGTTTCCAGAAAAATCCAGTCCTAACCTGTTCTCTTAAATATTCCAAACTAGTATTAACTGCTCGTTTCTCCTCTTTAGACACCCATGAAGAACTTCAGATAAGTCAAACATGTTCTAAATCACAGATGCTTCATAGTGATGATACTGACTGTTTGATAGTGATGAAAGGGGAAAGAAATTAATTACATGGAACAAACAATACGATAAAATGTTTTTGCTAATCCCTTCAGTGGATTGTTTATGCGTTTCCCACAATGTTTCCTGACACATCAGGCTCACTTTAAATGTTAAAGCTGTAGACTGGTTTTTCTTGTTTATGATGTCTTGTTTGGACATGCACATAAATGCATTACTTTAAATTAATCCCAGCCTTTGCATCTCATCTTGTATTTAGTGGTTCTTAACATTATTAAATAAATGGATACAAGCTTGAGTTTAACAAAAACGGTTCAAGAGGTTAAACACTCGGGAGGCTTGGACTATTCATCAAGCTCTTCAGTGACGCTGTTTATTTTAGTGACAGACATGAAATGGTGCATAATCGAGTTGGTCTTCATCCCATTGCACTTACAGATGCTGCTGTTTAAAGCCTTTAAATAAGATCACATCGTTTTCATCTCGGCAGTTTTTGTTTGTCTTTTTCATGCTCTAGTAAAATGGATAGACTGCGTGGTACATGCCATATTATTGCTCTCATTACAATTCCATATTTACCAGAAGTGGAAAGGAAGGTAAAATGCAAAATTAGTGACATTTTTCATAAAATACATCACAAAACTCTTAATAATCTTATCCAAATACTTCAGGTTACTGGTTTAACAAAGTTGCATTTTGTAACATCTTTTTGGGTCTCAGTTTTACACTAGGTGCTTCTATTTCAAACATGATTTCTAGCCTGCATGGACCTGAACTATCATGTATCTTTAAGCTTGTGTGTGTGAGCAGACCTCCATGGTGGGGGGGGGATCACTTAGAATCAGTTAGAATGTGCATTCTAACTGCACATGCGTCTGCCGCTTTAAATTCTCGAGCTCGTTACAGCAGGATGGATTCTGATTGGCTGTCAATTTTTTATTGTTCATCAGCTGGAAAAAAATCGTTTTGAACGTGATTCCAACGATATCGTTTCTCTTTGTCTTTATCGTTATAGTTGTGGTGTGGACTCTGCTATTCTTTAATATTGAGAACGATTTTTAGAACTATATCTTTATCGTTATCTTTATAGTTATCGAACGGTGTGAACGGGCCTTAAAGGTGCAATAGGTGATTGTCTTTGGCAGGCAAACATCAACAACCCGATCTTCCTTCCTGGTATTGTAGTACTTTTAAAGGTTTCTCACCGGTGAATGACACATGATGTAACCCAGCGGTTCCCAATCCCAGTCCTCGCGCCCCCCTCTCTGCAATCTAACATATACTGTTACACATAAGTTTTGTTTCTCAACTGTTTACATTCACTTAATAGCCTATATACCGACAGTGTTTAGTATGAATCGACTGTTTACGTGAATACTCATCAAGATGGGCATTTTAACTTAATTTTGTATGTATTTGGCCGTTTACGCGCAATAAGGCGCAACACAACTTCATTCTGTAATCGCACGCTCTCAAATGCGGCTCTATGTGCGCGCGCTTTGGGTGTTTGCTCACAGAAAGCGGTCTCACAGAGAGCGCACAAGTACTGAATCAAGCACTTTAATGTTTAAAATTGTAAGGCTCAGAAACACATGCAAATGATACATTCCGTCATCTGTCCTGAGCGTCTTTCGCGCTGAAATATTTGCGGGAATTTCCCACGTTACAAGCGTGGAAACTGCAGAAATCAGTAGAATTATGCGCAATCCCGCGCCGAAATTCAAGCCCTGGATCAACAGATAGCCACTTGGTTTGAAAGTGATTCTGTGTGAGTCAATTTTTACCAAAATATTATGCACGTAAACACTTTAATATTTAAAATATCACAAACCCTCCTATAAACAGTTTCGGGTGATCGCTCAATGGAATCATTCAGTTTTGTCTAAGCTTCATGGAGAAATGAATAGCACATTAAAAAAAAATTATGATCTTGCTTAATTTTATGTCTCACCCACAAAATCTAAGTTAACATATTCACTCTATCGTCCAGCCCAAGTTCCCATATAGACTGACAGGTAAGTGTGCCCTTTCTTCCTGCTCCACCACACTTTAGGTTTGCACTGCCAAGTCTCAACTTCCTCATGTAAATATTTCTCTCGTTCTCAGAGAAACACATTTGTGGGCTCTTGTTTTTAGCCTTGCTGAGACTCTTTATCAATCACTGTGTAGACTTTCACAGTGTTCAGTCATGGCTTTAACTTCAGTGCCTGTCTTCACCTGGTCCACAGATGTGGATGGATGTGGCCGCTGGTGGATGTTTGGTCTTAATGTTTTAGCAAGCACGTCTTGCCTCCACAGGACTGAAACCTTTGAATTACTCCAGTTGGTAAAGGTTGCCTTTATTTTTATGATTACATTTAATCGCAGGTTATTATGTTGTGAATTCACGTTTAGAGTTACTGCTGTCTTGGTCAATAAATTGTGGCACTCACACGTTGTATTATTGTACCCCTTCCTCCAAAGGTAATTTAATTGAATTACCTGCCAGTGTTCATGAATTCTGGTAAGCTTCAGCTGTTTGGCGAAACCTTTCTTTCTCTTTCTGCGTTCATACATTGTTCTCTTCCTGTGGAACACCTTTAGAACATATTTCCAAGCATTGCCTGTCATTTTCCCATCCCTGCAGTCCTTAGGGGACTCCTCAGTTTCTTCACATCACCATGGCTTGGTGTAACCCAGCTACTTAAAGTTTTGTTTTTGAGGTTTTCGACAAATACAACCAACAAAAGCCCACCCTTCCCATATTTACATTTGGGTTCTGTTTTCTCCCAGCCTCTCAAACACAGTGTTTGACAATTTCTTTTGGATGAATAGCATCTGTTAAAAGATTTTCCAGGACAAATGACTGGATTTAATGGGCAATGCTGGGTAATAACTAATTACATGTAATCTGGATTACATGATCAGATTCCAAAAATGAAGTACTTGTAATTAGATTGTTACATTTTAGTCAGATAGCTATTTAATTTAAAAAAGTGTTTTCTTAATATTTCAACATTGCATCAACTACTGATGAACACACTGCAGTTCCTTCATGAACCCCAGTTTGGGAAACCTTGATGTAATGTAATGTTTAATGGACTTTATGTTGTTAATAACAACGAATTATATATATTTTCTTTCTCTTTGTATTTTTATATCAGTATGGTACAAGATTATCCCATTTAAATCAATGTGATAAACGAGTTAGGTCAAAAGTAATCTGAAAGTAGTCTGATTATATTACTTGAAATGTCTAATGGATTACGTTACTGACTACAATTAGTAAGTAATCTACCCAGCACTGTTAAAGGGATAGTTCACCCTAAAAATGCAGAGTAATTTATTCACTCACATATCATTCCAAAGCTTGGACTGCATTGACGTGAAGGTGAGCAAACAATGACAGAATTTTATTGCTGAATTGCTCCTTTAAGGTTCTTGTTTGAGAGCCAAATTATGATCTAGTAAACAAGTTCTGGTTCACCTAAAGCTGTGATGTGCACAGACAAGGTGCAGCGAATGGAGGTTCCATAAATGTCATCAGATCTATTTAATGAGAAATAATGGACCGACTGGAGGATTTGGCATTGGAACTGAAAGCCAAGCTGGCATAAGAACGACAATAGTAGTAGCTTGGCAGATGTTGTATAGTTTGAAACTTGTGAGGCATGTTTACTCCTGAAATGTTTTGAAGAGTGCTTGACTTCTGTGTGTATTCATTCTGTCAGTGCAGGGAAGCGAAATATGGTGTTTATCACTTTATTTAATGTGGTTTTAGTGAAATTCTGAGAAACCTTTAGACATTTCAAAATCACTGTAGGATATAAAAAAAAAAAAAAAAAGACTCAACATATTCCATCTGGGTTAGAACTTGGACTGTCATTCAACCCTGATGGTGCCACCAAACATGTTATAAGGACATGTTTTTATCTTTTCTAATAAATTCTACAATAAACAGTCCTCCATAATCAATGTTAATGTTACTTACAAAATAGCACGGTCACCAGAGCGATAGGCATGACTAGCAGTCCCACCAGTAGATCGGCCACAGCCAGAGACATCAGGAAGAAGTTAGTGGCGTTCTGCAGTTTTCTCTCCAGTGACACTGCCAGAATGACCAGGATGTTTCCACCAATGGTGGGGATGATGACCAGAAGAATGAGCAGTGCGGCCCAACGGAGTTGTTCTCCAGGCTGGAGGGATTCCCAGTCCTCACTCCCTGTTTGGTTGAGCCCCGGCGTAGACGAGATGCTATTGCTAGCCATTCTGCTTTGGATAGTTGTGCTTTTGTTTTTTCCGTGGGCTCGTCCAGCATTGTCACAGACTCCCTCCGATCCGAGGGTGGTGGGACATTCAAATTCAAATGATGCACTTATGTTTGCTTGCAAGAATCCAATTTATTGAGCAAAAGAATTCCCCTCCAAATTATTATCTCCAGATGGAATCAGCGCTGGGATTGGTCACATGGTAGATGAGGTATTGCCCATCGTTCTGTCGCTGTGCTTTGACACTCCTGCAAATATATAAACATTACAATGGAAATCCTGTCATTCAAAAAAACACTATCTGTAGCCGGCGTTTGATTAAATTTTCTCGTCACGTGATTAGCCGCATGTGTTCCAGGCCATGTTCGTAATTAAGCAAGGAAGTAGATATCAGTAATGATCTGTGAGTGTTAACCATATGGAGTCATTTGTGTTCCTATCTAGTTCAATCAGTCGGGCAGATGACTTCATAAACAAACAATGTTTTTGTTTTCAGGATAATTAGGGTTTCATAACTTCATTATCATTTTGAAATGACTCCTTCTGTCATAACATTATGTAATGAGTATCATGAAATAGTCAAATGTTGTTATAATGTGTTGTTGATTTTAAATACTAACTACATAGGAATAAAATATAGGAAAAATCTGAAATGCATAGAAAAACTATTGTAGAATATTACATGATTTTTTCCCCTATTATAAGCTAAAAAGAATTCATCAAATTACATTTTTTTAAACTATATGTTTTCTAAATTTAAAATGGTTCTAAATAAGTTTTTTTCCCTTATGAAATTTTTTTGAAAATTGAGTATATATTTTTTTTACTTACCTTAAACTAAAACCTGAAGATTTCCTCTGTGCATTAGTTTAATTCCATATTATTCATCGTTGTATTTTTCCCCGTCTTTTAAGCAAGTGAAATAAGTGCTTCTTCACTAAACGTTCCTCAGTTTGCAGCTTCTCTCATTTTATATGTACTCACAAAAAAGTACATTGCAGTGACTAAATTCTGTGTGGGAACGGATCCAGATATTATCTCTCTTTTCAGTTGCATGCTGAGGAATGTCCTTGTTGTTGAGCAGCTGGCATCACCTAGCGTGATCACCGGTTTAAAACTTCATCCGTCCTCTAACCCTTCCTCTCTCATTCTGTGTCTGCTTACTAACTCGCTCTGCCTCTTCCTCCCTCTTCTCTCTCTCTCTCTCTCTCTCTCTCTCGCTCGCTCATGAGTTAAACCTGGAGAAACAGATGAATGTGTCGACACTGGGGTGGGTCCATTGATCCTGGAGGGTCATTTTCTTCAGTGCAGCGAAGCCACTGTTTATTTTTGTCATTCATAGTTTTCCTGTAGATTCATCCTTTTTTTTTGCCATTTAGTCACCTAGTCAATTTTTTAAAATAGTTTTGTACATCCCTGCCACCTACTTTTCATATTTTCAATATGAACTTCATATTTTATCTATTGGGTTTGTATCCAGACTTGAACCTTGAAGCACCCAGGTAATTTTCTTCAGCTGTCTGTATATCCAGAGGGAGCGGGACTGTCCTTTAACACCCTCTGAATACTGAGGGGGTCGGTTCAGTGGCGGATCTGTTGTATTTTAAGATGTATCGTTTGAGGTTTTGACTCGCACTTTTGCATTAAAAGACTTTTGCGAGGCCAATCCGTGAACAGTCTTTGTCCAGCTCCTCCTTCCCATTACCGCCATGTGCTCAGGCTGCATAGACACATCTGTTTGCCACCTTGACATGGTGAAGCTGGAGGTTAAAGCTGGTTACAACAAAAACGTGTGTTTGTCTGTGTTTTGTACATGCTACCAATCAAATATATGAATGCACCTATTTGAATTATGTAGTGACCATAGAAAGATTTTAAACCGCAGCTCTTTGTCTAGATCCCAGACGCTCATGCAGGAACAGCTTCATGAGGTGCATCCTGGGGTGCTCTGTAAACTATTAAAGGTTTAGTTTCCTTTTTCTAATTTGAAACTATTCAAATTATATTAATCTGACCTAAATATATTATTTTGAAATCCATGCATTTGCTTTTATGCTCGAGTTTTGTAGACATCTAATTAGAAATGTTTCAGTTGAAACGCTGACTTTTGTATTGTGTGTGTATGTATGGAAACTTAAGGCCAAAACCTTTTTTTTTCTCAGCTAACAAAACCTGAAGTCTATGTTTTGATAATAAGCTGTTAAAGTAATGCTGTCCCCCCCAGCCCCCCAGAGGAACCAGGGTTGTTGTAGGGGACTCTCTTTTGTTTGTTCATTTTACTGGTGCGTTGGAAAGCGTCTGGCAAAGGGAAACTCTTGAACCATGAACGTTTCCTGCACCACCCCTCTGTGGGGTGTCTTGAAGATGCCAGTGTATTGTCTGTTTCTCAGGAGATCAAAGTATCTGAGTTTCTTTTATCCTTACAGTACCTTTTCATTAGTATTTAAATCTTGGATTTCTGTTTAATGAATTTATAAATGTACTATGCATAAGTATGTGTATATAGTGTGGAGTGTAAACGAACATTGTTGTACTTTTTTTGTAAATGGCTACATTTATTAATTTTTATCAAACTGGCAAGTGGTTATGAATGAATACCAGAATGTATTGAAGGCAAATCTAGATTTCTGTGTGAAAACAAATGAAGCTCCAGTCTGAATCTGAGATGAGCCTCTAAACTAGAGACGCACCGATTGCAATTGTCTTGGCCGATTCTGATTTCCAATGTTTTTTGTAAGTGTGACTTGCCGATATCGATTTTTGGCAGTTCCCATTTTCTTTCTAAGAACTATAATTGGCAGCATGTACAAACAAAAATCTATACTTTTTTACAATACAAAAATTATTTATATAATAAAATAAATTATTAAACATTACAATTTCCCCCAATCTGGACTAAGTTACAGTTGTTCTCTGACTTAAACAACTCTCAAAATAAAGTGCTCTGTGACTGGAAAGAGGAAGAAATGAGTTGCTGTATGTAACAAAACAGATGTCATTTCCCACTATGTTTATAAATGGTCATTTTTTCCCCTAACTTTATTAAATGTGTCATCTTTCACATCAAATACTTACACTGTTTCAATTAATTCAGTTAGAATAATAATAAACTTGTAGAGTTGTTACCATTCAAATGAAATCCGTATCAACAAACTCCATCTTTCCACTGCAGGAAACACAGAGGCTGCATCTGAAGTGGCTTTAGATGTATTTATACAGACTGTTTGACGAAGCTGAGCTGCCATAAATGCATTTCAAATGCATAAATACTTTTATAAGATTAATGTTTTAAACATTTTTTAAACATGCAAATAAGAAATGTTGGGGGAAATGATACTTTTAAATATGAAACCAAACCACCAGTAGGTGGCGGCAAATGTTTTAATGAGTGAGTCATTCATTCAACCGATTCGTTCAAACGGCTGATTCATTAAGAAACGAGGCAAGTGACTGTCTTTATGAATGGATTACTGAATCATTGACTCACTCGATTCGTTCAAAACCGTGGATTCATTCAGTAACGAAACACGGCTGTGTTACTCGGAGACGAAACCGTTCTGCTGTGGCTTTGATTAGAACTATTTTCGTCAGCGAAATTGAGCAAAAACAGTCAATATTTTGTCTAAAACCTAAGTCACTTAATTTTAACTTCTTGTTTATTGAACTACTATTGTATAAAATCAGTGTCACACTGCAGTCGTGTTGATATTCGGGGAAACATCTTGGTCGTGTAATGTTCCTTACCTAAATTATATTTTATAAATCTCTTTTTTTTCTACCGCAGTATGCATCTATAACTTTCTGTGTGTGCTGCTGCGCTCATTATCAGTCGCCGTTTACACTGAATGCAAGAAAATATGAATCATTCTCGCGCAAAAATTTTTGGTGGCTAAGTTTCAGTGCTTCCCTAGTTATTTTTGTTGTTGACGTTTTAATCAGGCTTCTTCTCTGGTCGGGCGAGTAAAATTCTCTCTCACTTGCCCCTTTAAAAAATCTACTTGTTCCTGATGAGTGTTAATCGAGCCCTGTGGTTCCCCCACGGTTTACTTTGACCCTACACGTATTCGAATTGTGAACTTTCACTCACAGTGACGAACTTCCACACTGACGACATGTTTACATGCAGATGTGAGCGTAGCTGTGACGTCAAAACGGACCGGTTCGGCCCGATCATGCGGGAAATTGTCTTATTCTGGTCCATGGCCTGTCGATCGGTGCATCTCTACTCTAAACCCAAATGACCAGTCAGGATTAGATTGAATAAATGGCCGTGGATGAGCATAAGACCCTGGCAGAGGTTTGTATTTGTACAGAAGGTTCCCAGCTTCAATGTTGAAACTGTTTTTGCCAGCTTGTCAAGTTCGGCAGAACCCTTGATACCCAGCGCAACACGTTAATTACAGCCTGATGAAAGATTAAGTCAAATCCTTTTTTATTGCTAGTTGGCATTTGTAAGCGAGTGCTAAGTTGTGGATTAGCTTCTCACGGAAAGGGTTTGGGCTGTGGGAAGGGTTCGAGTTGTCTCAACTGGACATGATGTCTGTCTTTTTTTGTTGTTGCTCTGGACCTAAACTGAAGTTTAATTTACTTTACTTTGTCAACCTGGTATTATACAAACTGTACCAATCTAGTACAAACCTCTTGAGCATATTGGCATCGGTCAGTCAAATTATCCATGTCGATCTGATTAGTCTGGTTTAAAGATTAGATATTCCTTAGATTTCATTGCCATGTTTCCGTAGAAAATAAAGATACTCATCTTTTTATGTGCAGTTTGATAATGTTTTGATGCTGATTTCACTTGAAGCATTTAAGAATCTAGATTGGAGCTTAAACATGAAAGTTTATACAAGTATATAGTAGGGTTGTGACGGTGAGGAAATTTTCCCACCGGTTAATCGACGTGTGACAACACCGGTATCACCGCGGGGGCGGGCCGTTCCCTCTTTTTCTCGCTTTCCTTCGCTTTTAAATAGCTTGTAAAAGCGGTGTGCCCATTTTACTTTA